TCGAAATTCTTGTATTTAGAGCCTTTAAATTAAAAGAAAAAACAGTTCCTAAAATCTTGTTAAATTTTCTATCATAATTGATTAGAAAAATTTAAAAGTTGTTGTGCAAATACTAATGAAGCATTATATGAAGCATCAAAGCATGATTTGAAAGTTATTCAAATCTACCATTGTTCCAAAAAACATAAAAAGAAGAGAATAATTTTGGATAAAATTCAAATAAAATTGGTTAAAGTAGTTGCCACCTTAATAATATTAAAAAACTGTGTACTTGTCAATATATATATGAACTTTCACGTCACAAAGCGCTTTATGCAATTGGACGTCATTTGGTTGTAGTGAACTATAAGCAATAACATGGTGAGGATTTAAAGTGTAGCTATTCCAGAGCAAGAAATAGGTACCTTATAATGGATGGTAAGGTAAAAGGTGTGTTACAGTCGACGAATATATCTCCATTACAATACTTCATTAACTAAATCGATTGTCAGCCACGTTTTGACTTTAATACTCGTATCTCGTATAGATGCGAGTTTAGTAGGAAGCTTTGCTCGTCATTGTGGTAATAGACCATGCTACAATTACACAAATTTCAAAACAAAGCCAAAATCAATGCAATTTTATTATACACTGCTCATTCACTGATTTCTCATTATTTTGTTCTGAGTGATTGTTACCTGTTCTAAACAAACAGAAAAAGGATCTAAAAATATTGCTTCCGGAAATAGAGTTGATATTATCAAAGATTTGTTACCAAATTCAAAACCCAATTTACTGAATTATCCAAATGTAAGAGTATTGTATTAGTAGTATTATTCTTTATTAATAATTTAAAAAGCAAACAATAATTATTCACACATTATATATTATTTACTTAGGTCTTAGATCATAGACCTAATGTCGTCAGCTTAACCTAGCGATTGCGTTCTCTTTTTATAGCTCTAGTATTGTAGAGAGTTTGATATTATAATTAGTGACTATTGTTGTTATCCATACATAAGTGCGTCTTAAAGATTTCGTCTATAATTTTTTGTCTACATTTTAAGACTTGGTTAAGACATGCTCACAAAATCAGCCAGTCTATTCCGTTAAAGACACTGTGCAGTTCCGTTCGGCATAAGATCGATTTTATAAAATAATTGCATTTTTAAATACTTTTCCGTTTCCTGTTTATTGCACACAGAACAAACCGATAGGGTACAACTTACATAGGATATGTAATTGAGTTTTAAGAATTCGGTATGAGATTTGAATATTTTTCACTGTATATTTATTATTAAAATATTTCGATGTCCTCAAGGTAACTGCAAGGTAATTCTTTGTATTTTTGTCTGCAGTAGCTTGTTTTGGTCTTGTAAACAAATCGGTCTCTATCAGCTTGATCTTGTTTTAGGAGGATGCACTATCCAAGTCTTCTAAATTCAGATCTTCTTCATTAGCAAAAAAAATGAACTCCTTCTACCTAAAAAGCATGTCGCAAGTCGTTTAGAGAGTATGGTATCTAGTTGGTTTATAACAGCGTTAATATATTGAAAGTGGGATTTTAGAGTGCCGATATGTAGTGTGTGTTGGCGTGTTGGACGGTAGACGAAAAAAACGTTTGATAAAATAAGTCGGCAGTTTTTCTCGTCTTCATATCTTTCAAAACGCCAAACTTGGGAAGCATAATTGATAATTCACCGCAGCTTGAAAAACTTTGTATTTAAGTAAAAATGCTTCCGTATTATTTCCACAATTTAAAAAGTTAACCAGATCATCTAAAAATAAAGTAAATAAATATGGACTTAAAGCACAATCTTGCTTAACACTAGACAGGGTAAGAAACCAATCTGAAACAATATTTTCATCCCATACTGCTGCTTTACTACCATGATGCAAGCTCCAAATAATCCGTATCATTTTTGTTAGCAATCATAAGTTCCCGAGTTTATAGAAGAGCGCATTTGTTTGTATTGAATCGAACGTCGCCTTGAAAAAGACGTCGCCACCAAAAAGACATAGAGTTTTTTGTTTTAGCCAATATACATTTTTGCAATATTGGTTAAAAGAAACATGTTATCCATAGTGGAATACCTTTTTCTCGAAACCATATTGAAATGAACTTAACAATGCTCGGTTTTCCACCGAGTCCACCGAGTCTACCCCTATAATTTACTGGATTTTTCGTGTCGACTTTTTTGTGCAATGGGAAGATAATCGACTTGCGGAAAAAATCAGGTTCATTGTCACTGTTGTAGATATAATTAAATGATGCTGTCAAATTTTCAATAAATATATCCGAATCATATTTAAGGAATTCCATGGGTATTCCATCCTCTCCAAGAGGTATATTATTTTCACACTTGTGAAATATTTTTTTAACTTTTGCTACTGTGATCGAGTTGTCAAGTTCACTCATTTCAAGTATGAACATCTCATAACTTAAACTATCAAAGTGCTTGAAAAGTTTTAGTGCGTCTAGCTCTACATTGTTTGTATAACTCGTCCCGTTTGAATTTTAGCGCTTGCTATTAACACAGTTACCTCATTATAGTGCATCACTCTTTTATGTTGAAGAAGTTCTTTAAATCGTTGTTTTGGTTGACTGTAGTTTGTCAGACCTTCCTTTAATCCTGTTTTCTTAACTATTGTAAGTAGTCGAAATGATATGTTTCTTAACATCATTTACATTCAGAATCAAAGCATTGTTTTTTGCTTTATGATAGTTTTTTGCTTCTGCTGTAGAGACTTTGCTTCATTCTTTATACAATCCATTAAAATCTGAATTCCGTTTGTTGAGCCTATGGTCTCTCTTTTACTATTTTTTATTTATTGATTAAGTGCTAAATTACATGTTTTCTCAAAACTTTTATTCCAGTATAGTTTAGGTAAAAACTAAAGGCCTGTATTTGCCTCAAATATAATTTTCTAACGCGGACACATACTGTTATCAGCTGATGACCTGAGTAAATAAAGTCTTGCACTTTAAAGTTTTTGATTTTGTTAAACCAGATTCCCGCTCGTAAAGCATAGTCAATCGTGGTGGCGATAGTAGCTCTGTGATTTGTATGTTTGCCTTCTTTGTCGCCCTCACTTCTTCCATTCAGCACAGTACAGTATACAGTATTGCAGATCTCTAGTAGTCTGCTGTCATTTCTATCTACTTTGTCATCCATGGATCTGCATTGTGCACTCAGTCTATGGGCTTGTAAAGTTGGGTTAAATTGCAAGCATTGCTTCTTTCCAACTCTGGCATTACAGTCATCTACGACTAGTTGTTACAATTAGTATATGCGGAAATTATGAACGCCACTGTCTCTTCTAATTTTAGCTCAACTTATGATGATCATATTTAATATTTGTGTAAATAGCATTGTATTAGTATTAAAGTAGGCTTCGAATGAATCACTACCCAATTATGATAAAAATTACATTCCTGAACAAAATCGAATTTTGCTCAAAAAAGTTCTTGTAGTCATTCTACGAACCTATTAAGCATTGACTTATAATACATTTAGAAAAAGTTTAAAGAGAGCTCTGATATGGTTTTAGTGGAGTAAAACCTATTTATAAAAATTAAGTATCTTTCCCCGTTTGAACATATTTGCAGGAGTAAAATGCATTTCCTGTTAAGCTGCGTAAAACTGAAATAATTGTGGAGTTACAGTGGAGAATGCAAAGCGTTTTGTCACTGACACTCTCATTGAGGTTCTTTTTGAGTTATTTGTGATGCATTAAAAATTCCAGTTCAAAATCCTGGAATACAGCAAACGTCCTTTGAAATTCATTAAACCATCATTGTTCACTTATTATCACATTTTTCATTGTTTATCATTATTTCTTTTACATCGGTTTATTTTCCAAGTAATACAATTTGCTTAAAAATTGTGGCTACTCTTCGTAGTAGAAAAGGACAATGGGGGTCCATTTCTGACCAGTTTTGAGTTTCAAAATGATTTTTCAACATTTGATTACATTAGCCTTCAAGGAAATGACAACAGTTCGGGCCCTACTTTGATTTTGATAACATGTTTAAAGATACATAATGTAAATAAAAACTACAATAATGTCTTGTCTTGTTTTCCCAGTTTTCCTGTCAAAAAAGAGGATATTTTAAATAAAAATGAGGAAAGAAGAAGAATTTGCGGGAGAAAATACCTAATTCGTGTATTTGAATATAACAATCGTTTCATTAATCCTTTAAAATCTCAATTTTTGAGTTTTAACCCGTTACATATATATGAATTTATATGTTTCGTTGATTGAATCTCCAGATGTTGTTCAGTATGTCGAAAATGGAATTAGCCATATTGATTCATGGTTGGACATATTATTCCATCTCTTTTGTTGGAACGCTGTAGAGCTGAGAAAAGGACTGTGCTACTCCGTTTTTGACTACTCCGTGGTATTTGAATGTGTTATTTGCGATGCAACAGTCGCGTGAATTTATATTAAGATTGCTCATATTGTACTAGAAATCTTTGACAATATATTAGTAAGTTTTCTATTGAAATATTTGAAATATCAATATTATATGATATTTGTTTGAGGACGAACGAATGTAAATAAATAATCTAGATAGGAGTTTCATCTTCTACTTCAGTAAATGAAATATTCATTACTGCATATAATTTGTTGCTCTTTCACAGCACTTTTTTCGAGTTAATAAAATAATGTATATATTTAACAATGTGGTGCTAATGATAGTTATTGGTTTTATTCTTCTAGAAACAATTTAATATATAAGGTGCATTATCCTGATGGTTATAATTAGAAAATTTTTCTTTCACATTGCTCTACTTAATATGTTAGTGCATTTAAACAACAGTTCTATTAGTTTTTTATTAAATCGAACAATTATTTCTTTATTAAATGAAATATTGTTTTCGTAAATATATTTTTACTTCAAAATTGTCGTTATCTAATATTTTATAAGAAAATTTGATTACCATAAAAAATTATTGTCATTTGACTTAATTCTAGGCATAATATAATAAGAATAATTATTAAAGAGTCTCATATATCAAATAAATGCAGAAGGCGATATTAAGTATTAAAAACTTAATTATTAATCCGCAAATCATTCCGCAGGTTAACAATCAATCACACAGTTATCAAAACCCAACTCAAAATCACTGGAAATGCCAAATGCCATAGTGGGGATTAAAGTTTTTAAATTAAATAAAATTTAACTAATGGAAGCACATCGTTATCTGTGCTTATCACTTATTCAGTAAAATATTATCTTCTATGTTTACGAAAAGTTATTAAATCACTCGTTATAAAATTAAACAATATTTAATTAGTTTATAAATATTAAAATAATTTAATGAAGTTTTGTGCTGGCAACAGTCATGAATTAGAAGTCCTTGTCCCAACCACTGGTTTCGTCAGGCGGATCATGATCGTTATCAACACCTGGTGGCCCAAAGTACTGCAAATCTGTATTGCTTTTAATTGGTCGTTTTATGGGTGAAACAAGTTGTTTTGCCTTCAGCTTGTTCCAATCGAAGTTATCGAACCAACTGTAAATTGTAGTAACAAAAAAAACTGCTATTTCACATTTATTGCATGGATGTACTATGCCTCTTACCTGTGTTTTTTAATATCCAAAATGCCTTTACGTTGGTATCCCAAACGCTCTGCTGGAAGCTGCTTACACAAATGTTTTATTAGGCCCTGTGCAGATTTCGGTATTTTCGAGGGCATTTGGATGACGTCGATTCCTCCCAAAATTTGTTGGTAGATTTTTATTTGATTTTGTCCGCGAAAAGGTGTTTTACCAACAAGTAATTCGAATATAAGTATGCCTAAGGCCCAATAGTCTACGGATCTGTCATGGCCACGATCTAGAATAATTTCGGGTGCTACGTACTCCGGTGTACCAGCAAAAGTATTTGTTTTTTGGTTTAGAGGTATATGCTTTGCAAATCCAAAATCAACCTTCAAAATATATATATAATATATATAATATATAATATATATATAGTTTATATATTATATTACATAAAATATGCTTCATAAATTATCCAGTGTTTATATATTTTTAATGATGTTTTTTAAGAACAAATAAGTTATTTGCATACCATTATAAATTGAGGAATCTTTTTTTAAGGTGAAATTTTAAAGTTCCTACCAATAAGTTGCCACAAAAATAATCTTAAAAATTAATCTAAAAAATTATTCTCTTTGTTGGTTAATAGAATACTTTGTGAGTGTTAAACATAAAGTAATATATAGATATTTTGGATGTATAAATAGTACTAAACTGAAAGAGCTTTTGAATCTTATAAAAATGCTTAAAATCTCTGTCTAATATTGTGAGTCATAGAATAGCTCTTTTCGTTAAGGGTTCAAATCATTCGTTCTTGACACTAATAATAATATCAATAATAATCCATCGAATGGATGTATAAGTAATGCATCAATATGTGTTATGGAAATAAGGAGATCGGAAATATTTAAATAAATGTCAGACTTTAAACTTTAATTTGACCGCATTATTGTAGAACAAATGTTACAGAAAAATAATTCATATTCATTTATGCCATTTCGCTTACTTAGAAGCATTTGACATAATATTTAAGGTGATCTGGTTTTAGAGCAGGCTAATTTTTAATATTGTACTATTTGGTTAGGTTTTTCCATCTTCCACACATTTTTCAAGAAAATACCTAATAACACAATTGCATACAGAAAGAGTAACTGGGCCCGGGACAACATTACAAAAACCAGAACTGCCCTGCTAATATCAAATCTACTTGGACGGTCAATTACATATTTTAAAAATAAATTAGGAATATCATCCACCGTTAAGACGTTATCCTTTACGAATGATAAAATTTTGCAAAAACTTAAGAATTCTTTGGAATATATTATAAAAACGGAATGCCTTTCCGTTCTCTTAAGACAAATGGAAAACGCATAAACAGGATATATGGTCACTTTAAGTTTTGAAGTTTTTGTATGAACGGCATTCATTCAATAGTTGTTGATTTTCTGGTATTTAACCAGTTTCTCACCACCCTTTAAATTTAATTTCCCTTTAAAATCAGAATATAATATATTGATATTAAAAGAGCGATCTTTGGATCTTTGAAGACGATTGTTTTTAGAGCAATATCTTAAGAAAATCATAGTATGGTATTCAAATCAAAGATATTCGGGAAAAAAAGAATAAATCACCAGATATATATGGATAATAGGATCAAGGGAAACTCTAAAGCAGTATATTCTTTTAAGAAAACCTAATTGGTTTTTTGGAGTAACAACTACATACCAGTTTGCAGTAACCATCTGTGGTTAACATTAAATTCTCTGGTTTTAAGTCCCTGTAGATAATGTTGTGAGAATGCAGAAAGTCAAATGCTTCAACCACACATCCAGCAACGAAACGTGCAGTTTTCTCATCAAAGAAACGTCGTTGCGACATAATTGTCCAGACGTCACCACCCATGCAAGCCTCCATTAGAAAGTAAACAAATTTCTCGTTACGAAATGTCTTATATAATCTAAAAATAGTATTAGGATACTTTTGAAATATTCCGGCACAGATTTTACCATTTTAAGCTTACTCGATTATGAAAAGTGAACTACGACATTTCATCATGACATGTTTCTCATTGTAGACATGCTCAATTTGGTCCTGTTTCACAACATCGATTTTCTTAATTATTTTCAATGCAAAGGTTTTACTGCCATATGAAACCAAATCAACGCGTCCAAATGCGCCAGCACCTAAAGTGGCGACCTTCTTTAGCTCGGTAAGTTGAATGTTGGCATATTCATTATCGAACTCCGATTTGCGATTACTTTCTCTAGTTTCGACACCCTTATTGCTGGGTTTCTCACGCAATTGCGGTATTGTCCCCAAATAACTGATAAAAGCTCTGCAATGAAATAGATTATATGATTGAAAAGTGAACTTAGACTATGTCATATAAATCTTTTTGCATCATACTCTCGATCCAAAACAAGCACTTCCGTGCCGGGGGCATCAGCAAAGACGCTAGCTTGGCGGCGGTCTGCATTGAGCAATGCTTGCTCTCCAAAATAATCTCCGCGCTTTCTGCGATCCACAACACGTTCAACGTTCTGCGCGTTCTTCTTCTTAATGGTAACAGTTCCGCCGCGTATAATGAAGAACTCGTTACCGACTTCCCCTTCACATACAATGCAAGCATTTGTACTGTAAAATTTCTGAAACAATGTAAGGACTCATATAATTTGGAGGTGCTATATTTCACAATTGAACAAACCCTTTGCAATAAGTCAACAACTTTGTTGAGCACATCAGGCTCGAGATCTCTAAGAAGTGGCGCAGATTTTAAGAAATTTAAGTTCTCTTCTCGTTCTTTTGAGCCAGATATGACCATTATCTTGCGGAATGTTTCACGATGTATTTTCCAAACTGAGGCCTTCGAGGTTGCTGTAGCGTTAGTAAGAAAAAAATAAATTAAAATTTTGTTAAAGATGTAATACTAGAACGAAATATGAATGTTGAATCTTGAAAAATTACCTTTAACAGAAGCTAACCGTTTAGCATTATAAAGTATTGCCAGTTCACCAAAAACGGTGGGTTCATTGAATGTACCCAAGACTTTACTGTCCTTTGTCACTTGATATGAACCTGACTCTGAAACAAAAATTTCAGCACCTTCGTCACCTTCTTTAATAATGCAACAATTTTCCTGAAAAGTTTCCGGTTCCATTGCGTCAATGACCATTTCTTTTCGCTCCTTGTCCATGTAATTATTAAGAAATTCATTTTTCTCAATGGCAGTTCGTATAAGATTTCTTGTTCTAATTTTTGTTTATTTAGTAAAGTAGAGTAGTTCAGTAAGTAGAAAGAGAGTTCAAAAAATACTCTAGCATTAAAAAGAAATTTACTTACGCTTCGTCCTTTTCAATAAACACTAGTTCCACATCTTTGTTTTTTATTGGAAACTTAGGTCGCGCAAAAATTAACCCACCTTCTATGCGATGTGACTTCAGAGACTCACTCGAGTCACTGTCTTTCGGCGAAGATGATTGATCCTGATATATAAGAAGTGTGTATTAATGTTGTAAGATTTGTTCAGTTAATTGTCTAAAAGCTTAAATGAGCTTTACTTGAAAGTTGCAGACTGAAGACCTAACAAGTTTAATATATTTTAATAATAAATGTTTTGTATATTTTTTTTTATTTTTTCTTGTTTAGTAAAAACGTTGACTTTTAATATTTCTATAAAAGAAATTATCTCTAATCCAAACGAATGAAATTTCTTTCTAAGAAAAACAATATATTAAAGCTATTGATAAACTTGATAATACCTCTTGATTCAAGAACCAGAAAATATATACATTTAGGTTGTTAAGAACAATGTGCTCTTTACTAATATCTGAAAAAGAGCTACTATGAAGCACTACTACTTTGTTGTGCCGATATTATTGGGTGCATTTTAATGATTATATTATTCCTGCGTTGTGAGCAAATGACGAATTAAGCTATTTTCGAATTTCTGACTTTAATACCTTATCGATAAATATATATTCTAATTACAAAGAGTCATTCAATATAATTTAATTTATTTAATGAGACAAGCGCAGTGTTAAATTCTCTCAATAGAAAGCAATAAAAAAGGAACCATTTAAAAAAATCATATGCAGTGGAAAGAGTTTGGAGATTTTGAGTAGGTTAAGTGAATAGAAATAAGTCAGTGGAATTTCGGGTATTTACATTTTACTTGACTGAGACTGAGTTTTAAGACTGAGTTTTCTTGTAATTTACAAAACTGAATATCCAGTTAGGGAACAATATGATGCACATAGACCTCGCAGTATTCGGCGATAGCAGTGAAAATATAGTAAATAGAATAGCATTTCTGTCAAACACTGAGTGTCCTATCTGTGATCGGATTCCTTAACTGTCAATAAGGTTCCAAAGCTCCTTTCTCTCAACACTAGTACGACTTGAATTTAATATCTAATAATATCTAATTCTCAATAAAAGAAACAATAAAAATATCAACAGTTTCTTAAAATAGAACTACTTTCATCGATAACATTTTGGCTGCATATAGTGTTTTTGGTAAAGTGGGAAGATCAAATACCTTTACTAGGTACTTTACTCTTGTGTCTGCAACTGTCAATACTAAAAAATTTATATTATTGTTGTTGCTGTGCTTTAGAAAATATTGTGACATCTCTTTACTAGTTGAAGACGAAGTAAGCAGTTACCTCGATTTGCACTCCCGAGTCACGTCCGGTGAAACCATTTTGCGTAGGTAAGACGGAGTCGCTGTTCTTCAGCACTTCGATTAAAGTACACGAAGTCGTTCCTAAATTAGACTACAAGTACAGAAGAAAAGAATAAAAGTGTGAAGAAACAAAAAAAATTTTTGATTAATTGTAGCCAAAATATATGTAGCTAGCATTTTGGAATAAGCCGAAACATGAGCTTTTTGCAGTAATCCTTAAGTATTAGAAAGCAGTGGAAAACGTTTATATATTAGACTAAATACAAGACGACATAAAAAGTGTTAGTATGGAAAACACTGAAAGAACTGTAAGAGTTTTCGGACGAATGGAATAAGAGAAACATTCTCTCGTCCTTAAGTAGTTTAAAATTACTTGAAAGTGAGTACGGAACTGTTTGAGGCACTTAATAGATATGTGGATAGTTAACTTCGTGCAGTGCTACGAGAATCATTTGAGTTCTATTGCAGAATTAGCGTAAGGTACGGCGGATAAATGTTGAAATCGCATTTGCATGATAATTAGTGACAAGTTCATGATCTTCTCTGCTCCTCTTTAATAGCCCAACTATATGTAAATAAGATACTTAAGCTTACTTTAACATTTGTGGCAGCAGTTTCCATAGCGGATTTCCGCTCCACATCGCTTGGTAGCTGATTACTGCTAGCGTCTGTACTTGTATCATGTAGTGCATTAGAACTCCGCCTTGATTTATTGCTTTTGTGTGATACCAGCGAGGCCGAAGATGAGGCAGTAGTAAGTGGTTGCGGCGGCATAGGCGGTGGCGGTGGTATATGTAAATCGTCAACGAGCTGTTCATGTGAACGTCGAGCACCTTTCCGTGTCTTGTTGCTGGAATTACTAAGATTACTGGGAAATTTAAGTTTCATTGTCGTCGACTTCGGTGTGGTTTGTGTGCTTTCTGCACTTAATTTAGCTGCCGCTTTCGACATAGTTTCTGTGGTGGCGGAAATATCACTGGACATAGCATCCTCTTCATCGTGACGAACGCCAATGAAAAATTTTGCATTCGATGTGGCAGATCCAGATGGAGTTGTTGGAGTTGTAGGCGCAGTGCTGCTGCCATTACAGTTCACTTCTATGCTGCTTTTGGACGTGCCGTCAGTGTCATCCTGTTCAAATCCTGGTGCTTCGGTAGGCAAGGCAGTTGGTCGTCGTTCTTTGACCGGCTTCAGCTTTATGTGGGCATGATTGTTGCTTCCGCTTTTATTGTTGCTATAACTATGAGGGGTTGCATATAGATTCACATTGCTGACATGATTACTGCTGCTGCCTTGATTGTTATTGTTGTGCTTAGTTTTGTTAGAAATGAATTTTTTGCTGTTGGAATCATTATAACTACTATTGCTATTGCTATTGGTGTTGCTGTTGTTGTTGCTTTTATAGTTACTGCTAATGATGTTGTTATTACTTGTAATGCTGTTATTGTTACTTAAGGTGTTACTATGTATGTCAGATTTATTTTGTTGTTGAAGTCTCGAGCGCTAAATTTACGATATTTTATATGCGTTATCGGTGTTATCGGTGTTAGCAGTATTATTGTGTTATTTTAAATCAGAAGAGAAGAGAAGAGAGAGATATGTAAAGATAGTTAGTAGATTAAACTAAACAAAGTACAAAATAAGATATTAATTTATTAGTAAAGCAAATTACAGAAAGCAGCAGATCAGAAGTAAACCTTTCCATAAGCACTCACCTCGCTTGATTTAGGAGTAAAAACTGGTGTTTCTTCACGTCTTATATAGAGTCCAATTTGCTAAAGAAAGAAAAGATTAATATGCATTATTTCATGGAAAAATAATTAAAAAATATTTTTAAATAAATATGAATATAAAAATTTTATAAAAGAGTTTTTATTTAATTAAAACCGCTTTTGAAGGCGATACTTCGATATCAAAATTTCAAGAAGAAATATTTTAATACTCATAAAAGATAGACCTGAAAGACGGAATGAGCTGAAAAATTATGAGCATTTTGCTTTCCAGAATTTTATGCGTTATCTCTTTAATCAGCATTTTTCCAATTTTCACATGATTCTGGTTGATGAATATATTTGCTTTATTTTGTTCTATTTTTACAGAAATCCAGGAGCTATTTTCACTGAATTCTTAGAATATTTCGCTTGCTTTTAATTTGTTAAACGCTTTTATTATTTAAACAGAAATAATTTAAATGAGATGACATTTTAATCTTCCAATTCCGCAAACACATGTCATTTCGTTAAGCAAATTTACTTTTGAAATGCAAATCAAGTGTAAAGAATGTTTTCTGTCTGTCAGATGATTGCCACCCCTCCATTTTCCCATCGGCTTGAATTGCTTGGTATTTGACTTTCTATATCCTTCGTTTCTTTCATATAAACGAGCATAAGGTAAACACATAAATGTATAAATAAAAAGAAAAGCCGAAAGCTTAGCGCCATCAATATATTACATTAAATTAAGTGATTTAATCAATGACATGATAAAGACACAGTCAAAGCAAATATTTCACACACAAAAATGTTGTACCCTCTCAACAGTCATTCAAAGGCGCTACAAACTTTCTCTTCCCATATGTATATAACATAAAGTAGGTAAGTTATTTTGTCTAAATGGTTCTTATTAGAACCAATCTGAAAAGATGCACAAGTGCCGCAAAAGCTTCAAGAACCATATCACATCCAGTATAGATAATATGTACTTAGTTATAATTCGGTAATACCAAATGGTTTGTAATGAAATAATTCTGGAAAGGAATTACACCTTTTCCAAAATGTGGTCAAAATACGTAAGAACATATGTATATACGATATTGGACAGTCAGTTGCGATTAAGTAATATAGAACATCTTAGCACCTGTTATAAAGAACATGAACCCACTTATCTAATGTAATTAAAATGGAGTCTCAACAAACATGGCAATAAATTGCAAGATCACCTCTATTACTCCAACTACTGCTCATGCTAAAACTTATTCTTAGCATCTAGAGGAAAGTTTCAAGATCAGAAAGATCGACGATTTTTTGGATAAGTCTATGGAACTGGATGGGTGTAACGATCATTTTTTTTGATGCCCAATAGAATGAATATGAAACTCAGTTATTATGCAAAATTGAAACACATGGATATTCCCATGAATATGCGCAAACGTATGTTAAAACTACATTGAGGAGAGTTAGTACCATTTTTTTGTTTTAAAACACGGTAGGCAAAATAAAATATTTGAAAACATGTCAATTTTTAGACGGATTCGAATCTTTCCAATTAAAATACTTAATTATGACATATGCAAAGCCACCAATAGACGTACTATATTTGGAAATTCTGATCATTTTATGTGCATTACTCATTTCTTTTGAATATTTCATTCATAAAAGTTTTCATTCAAAGTTTTTAAACTGATTTTTCCTATTTTAGATGTTTTTCTCGCTAAATATCATATAGAAAAGATTTTAAATACACAATGGAATAAGTGTTTATTGATTTCGTTGTACATATATTATATTACTTTTATTTGGTTTTCACATAGAGCAGGGTTGTCCAAAGCCAAACACCAAACACCGTACAGGTTGGAGGGCCGCAAAAATAAATATATACGTTCATAGTTGTTTTATTAATTTATCAATTTGAATTCATTTACTAGATATACCATAAACATAAAATAATGTAGTTTTACAAGTACACCAAAAGAAAATTCGCATAATTTCAGTTGACTCAGTTGACGGCATGAATAAGAGAAAACATAAATATATACAAATGTAAAATGGAATGGTCCTCTGTGTCTTAAAGCAAAACAACACACAGAGCTGATATCATACAATTCCATTATTAGAGTCAATTCAATAAATTAATGTTTGAACGACCGAAAGTAGCGGGCTTCTGCTACATTCGATAGGTGAGTTTTCCGTGTTCTTGTGGCGAAAAAAAGAAGCAAAGCAGTGCGAATTATTTGCGTTTTGTCAGTCTCCGCCTTTTATATTAAAAAGATTCTGATCTCATTTTGCCGCTACATAATTTCTTTGCTTTATATACCGGCTGTCAATTTTTTCTGTACTGTTTGTCTTCCTTAAGAAAATAATTTCCAATACAACAGTAAATGACATTTTGCCGCTGAGGCTGTCATTTCATATACAAGTATTGGCGTAATTCAAGTGACATTGCCACATTGCCAACGTATACACCTCCCTCGAGGTTATCCGCTTATGTGGGGAGTCGCAGGGTGACAACTTAAAGTTTGATACATTTTTTGTACTTAAATTTTGGAGGAGAAATGCTGTAAAACGTTTTAGCCTAAAGCAAAAATTAAGCGTAAGCAAAAAAAAATCGGCTAGAAAGAATGAATGTAGAAAAAACAGGAAGAAACCCTATCTCGGAATGAAAAAATGTACGTTTTGACAAAACATGATGAAGCGTTTCCTCTTAGCGATTTTTGGAGAACTTCTTTTTTTTGAAGGATAATCAAATGCGAGGCAGTTACCTACATTTTGTGTGAAAATTGTACGCGTTTATAAATGCGAGTACGTGTTCCAGCTTTTACCTGGGTATTAGCGTAGCTTTTGATTTGGCGAAATAAACAAGATTTGCATGAGAAAATATGTGCTTATCGTGAAACTGCTACTTCCTTACTACAAAAATAGGTTTAACATACATCAACATTTGTGGGTTAAGCTACTTTCCGTCGCTACCAGAGGAAATAAAAGTCCATATTAAAATATTAAAATCTAACTCAAAACGAAACAAAACCAGGGTGTTCTTTACGACTTTTGGAAATATCAAGGTTCATATAAATTTCAGGTTGAATAGTCATTACTTAAACAAATTTGAACAGTTCAGTAAACATGCAAATGTGAAACTGGCGTAATTTTGTTTTTTATCATTTGGGTGTGTACGTATTACATACATTTAAATATCACCATCTCGGTTGAATGGTTATACTCGTATTTACAGTTATACATGTATTTACCCAGAACATCGCGTACGGAGTCCTAGAATAATTGTCGACCATTGTGTCTTTATCATAAAGCAAAGACAATCATTGACTATATGACAGCAGTCAGTCTGCTTTTTAGGCCCCATTTTCTCTGCATTGCGTTAGTTCTTCAAGTTGATATATGCAGCTTATGTAGTTTGATGCATGTGTTTTACGCTATGTTTAGCTTGGTTTATTGAACAATTAGTGAAAATACCATAGTGTGCTAGATAAGAAAATGGTCTTGTTAGCTTGTTTGTTTGAAAATATGATGAGAGCCCATCTTGCGATATTTCCTTTTTTGTGAAAAGTTTAAGCTAGAATGTTTTTGCTACTCGAACCATTTAGCTTCATTGACTGCATAAGTCAGCATATCGGGGATTATTTGATGGTATTTTTGACTAGATAAATACTTTTTTGTATTAAATGTATGAAAAAAACTAAAGAAAAAAGGGCACTGAAGCCATAGTGCATTGCTATTTAATGTACTTCCAGTTTTTCGAATTAATATTCCTCATTTTGTGATGGATTGATTCCAACTTTTATTTTTTAATATGTTTCTAACAGTTATGTAGTATATTGACCTGTACTATATAGTGTGTATTATAATTGAGTTATACTTAAGGTTTACATATAAGTCAGAAGAAAAGTTCCTATTGAAAATGTCTTCAAAGGATACAATTAATAGTATTCAAATAATTTGACAAGCTTAAAATATTAATTCACGATTAAAATAAAGCCAAATCCGAAGCCGAGGCTGAAGCTGAAGCTAAAATCGAAGCGTATTCGCAAATTTGTAATATTATTACAAACTGAGTTATTGAAAATAAATCATTTTACTAGGCGTCTACACCAGCAAGATTTGGACAAGATTTTTATGTTTTTTTATGTTTTTCATATTGGAAACAAAAATTTTCATGTACAGGCTTATGGACCGAGTCCGGCTCGTCTAAGACTTCAGTAAGCACAGTAAAGTCAAGGTTATTAAACATACCAAGGTGGATAATGTGACCGACTCCTCTTCCATAGTGTGTTGTTTCATTAGGCACGTGTAGCTGCAGTGTTTATACCCATTATTTAATTTTTTTTTCATCTGTTTTATTTTTTCAAGTTATTAAAATTATTTTTGTTTATTAGTTTTAGTTGTCAATTATTAGTTGTGCTTCATACCAGATTTCATTTACTTACTCTATTTGGTTTTTGATATTTTTGTTATTTTGTTTAATAACTAATAGTGTATAGCTAAGAGACTTGTTTTCAAAAATCAATAAAAAAATTTTCATGCATTCATCGGAATTCTCTTGAGTAAAGTATTTTAGTTGCGATTTCAGTCTTTGCCTCAGCTTCAAATTGGGTTTCGTTCAAATTTCAATCTAAGCAGTTTTTCTTGATGAATGAAAAACGGAGTAAAATTTTCAGAAAACCTTTATGATTAAAAATTCTTCAAATATTTAAAGTAAAACTTTTTCAAGCTTGGTTTTTTATGGTTGCCAGAGTAAATATTTTTGTAAACTTTTCCTTCCAGCTTTATCAATTTCATTATTATTAACAACGCATATTTTACTCCTTCTATCTCTACATATTTCTTCCGAATTTGACAATTTGATCAGTTAATAGGAGTTTAATATAATTATTTTTTTCTTTTAAGGCGCTGTACAACTCTGGTCAAACGGTTGATATATCCTGCTTTCTTTTGATTGTTGAAGCTATAACATAAATAATCAGGTATGTAGTATTAATATTGCTATCTTGCCGATCTTTAATCGGATTTTCATTTCCTTTGTTAAGTTTAATATTCGAGCATGT